GCGTAACAACACCAACAATTTTGACCTGAACCGCAACTTTCCCGATCAGTTCGCCAACATCACAGAACCCAGACAGCCAGAGACTAAAGCTGCGATGAAATGGCTGAAGAGCATCCCTTTCGTCCTGTCAGCCAACCTCCACGGAGGCACGTACTGTACAGTGGTGTTTCAGTGTCGCGGCCAGCTTTTGAATGTGGTGATCTGCTAAGTGTTGTTAAAATTTGTAAATATTTTCTATATTTTATGGTTATGATAATTAGTGTTTTTAGTAACAAAAAATAATTTTATGTTCACAGACTACATTTTCTTTCCTACCCACACATTCAGATATTATTATTTGTGTGTATGTGTGTGTTTTACGCTGTATTATTTTTGTTGTGCAATTCAGGGTCCTTGGTGGTCAACTACCCCTTTGATGATGACAAAGATGGGAATAGTTACTACAGCAAGTCGCCTGATGACGAGGTCTTTCAGCAGGTCTCTAGAGCCTACTCACAGGTAACTGGACACCGTTGCTGTGGGAGCTGTTTGAGCCTGATGCTTATAGTTTCAACTTTTAGTACTAATGGAAGCTCATTGAAATCTGTGGAATGACTGTTTGAAAACTTGACAACAACAGTGATCATTGTTTGGTTTTACTTGTATGCAGGAAAATCCTCTGATGCACCAAGGACACCCTTGTGAGGACCTGTACCCTAATGACTATTTTAAGGATGGCATAACCAATGGTGCCCAGTGGTATAGTGTTCCTGGTATGCTTACACCTTTCATTAATTTTGGCATACTCCATGTTTTTAAAAATTCACGCAACCCTTTTATATAAGAGGTTAGCCTTAATTAAGATCTACTTGAATTCTTCCTGGCAAAGAAAGAAAGGAAAGAAAGAAAGGCATTAATGATGCCTTCACAGATATACCCCATGTTATGTGCACTTCTGCTGCTATACTGTCACGTATGCCGCCCTTAAGATGTGCGCTGATACCAAGCTGGGTGGTCTTTCTCCTTCTTAGCCTGGGGTACTCAGCTTTCAGTTTTTACAGAGAAGATTTCAGTTTTTTGTTGGTAAGACCGGAGGGATAGTTTTCTACTTTGCCCTCAGTATGTCTTTAGTAACAGAGTGGTCAGCTATTTGCATGAGAGAGTGTTGGCACTGCATCAGTAGTAGTTAAACTATGTTTTCTGGCAAGAAGGCAGGGAAAAAAGTGTTCCTGAGACAACGCAGTGCAGCCTAAAGGCACTATGGTGACTTGTAGTTCTAAAGTAGGTTTTGGGCTCTTCACCGGAATAAAAGAAAATGTGATTTTTATTCTATCAATGTGTAAATTGTATATTTTTAATGTAGAAAAGAATTCCCTAATTTTTATATTTTTCACAATAACTTTTTTTAAATTATTTTTTTATGTTCTGTTATGAAATTGTCAGATTATTTACCCACACAGTTTCTTGATATGACTCTAAAAAGGAGTGCATGTTTTTTCCAGGTGGCATGCAAGACTGGAACTACATAAACACAAACTGTTTCGAGGTGACAATTGAGCTGAGTTGTGTCAAATATCCTCTGGCCAAGGACCTCCCAAAATACTGGGATCAAAACCGGCGATCCTTGCTTCAGTTTATACACCAGGTAGTAAACATAGATCTCAACATTATCCTGAACCTTCAGCGTAGTTTTGCATTCACTCATGTTTTTTGTGGGCATTTGCGTCTTTAGGTTCACACTGGGGTGAAGGGCACAGTTTCAGATATGTGGGATGGTAGGAGAATTCCCAATGCCACCATTAGTGTCGAGAAGATAAACCACAAGATTACTACAGCTCAGACTGGAGATTACTGGAGATTGCTGGTCCCTGGGACTTACGCTATCACTGCCTCTGCTCATGGGTAACAGCTTTATTCAGAAGGAAAACATAGTAGCCACATGAAATCTAGTTTCAGTATGTTTTTGTCTTATTGCGACCTTTATTTCTGTTATTCTGTTATGTTGTCTAGTTATAAGCCTGTGACGATCTACGCCACAGTCTCAAAGGATCGAGTGGAGGTGGTGGACTTCAGACTGACATCTGTGCGGTCAGAGGGTAACCGTCATTCTTCCAGTGGCCCCCGACCCACACAGAACCCATCTGAGAAGGAGTTTCAGAGCTTAATCAAGGAGCTCTCTGTAGGCCAGGGTTTAGATGAGTTGGTGAAAAACACAGCCACCGAGAGCAACTTCCGCTACCGACCCTCCAAAGAGATGTCGGCTTTCTTGAGAGGCCTCACGCTTAACTTTCCCCACATTACATATTTACACAGGTAAGAAGATTTTATTTTCCCCTAAACTGTGAGTCTGAACCAGTCTTTATTTTACTGCAGTGACCTATATTGTTTCTTTTTTTTCTTTTCTATGTCCAGCCTGGGCCAGAGTGTGGAGTATAGGACCATATGGGCTTTGGAAATCTCTAACAAACCAGGAGAATCTGAACCGTCCAAGCCAAATATTCGCTTTGTAGCAGGGATCCATGGTAATGCCCCAGTGGGGACAGAGCTGCTGCTGGAGTTTGCTGCCTTCTTGTGCATCAACTATGGCAAAAACCCAGCCATCACCAAGGTGTGCCTTAAGACCTCTTTATTATTATAACAACAGCATTTTTATCAGCTCGTTTTGGCTTTAAGGGAGCCAAAGCTTGATTTATTTCTCAATGAACATTTAGTACCTGTGAATATATGACTGTAATTGTTCCTTATCCTTCTCCAGCTGATCAACGAGACTCGCATATTCATTGTTCCTTCTGTAAACCCTGACGGACGAGAACAGGCTGTTGAGAAGCAGTGCAAATCTACCCAGGGCTTGACCAACGCTCATGGCAAGGACCTGGACACAGACTTCTTTGGTCAGTTGTCTTAATTTCTGCATGTGTGAAGCTGAAATGAAAAACAGATTTAAAAGATCAGCTCTTCAAGTCAAGATTTCTTTTGAATGTAAAAAAGAAATGGTTGACGTTTACATGTACCATTTACAAAAGAAAAAAGAAAAAAAAAGATATTCTGTCTGTCCTCTTTAACAGGCAACGCATCACAGCGTTTGGTGGATCCCCAACCTGAGACCAGAGCGATGATGAACTTCATTCAAAGCCACCGCTTCACTCTGTCTGTAGCCCTTGATGGAGGCGCCCTTGTTGCCACTTATCCTTATGACAAGCCTGTCCAGACTGGTAATACCACTATGACAAGAAACAAAAGTATATTGTGTATAAAAATCTGAGAACACCAGGATAGCTCTTTGCTGATGCTGCATGAGTGCAACGTGACACTGGGCACCACTTTTTCACACATATGAGATTCAGGAAACATTAAAATAAAATTGTTTGAGTTTGGAGAAAGTGACATGTGAATGAGACAAACATCCCTTGTGGGCCTTTTCAGAAACCCAACAACGCTTGCTGTAGCTCATCTGTGGGCAAGATTTACTAAACAGGGAAAAATAGCATGTGACCCAATATCCAAATAGCGCTCATAGGTGTTGTTAGTTTTATGGGTGATTTACAAAAGATGCACTGTTTTCCAAACACGGGGGTGGTCAGTGCCTTTCAGTATCAGTCACAAAAAAACAAGCACGTCAGTGTATGTGGGCCTATGTATAGGTTGAATGCTGACTGGTTGAAAACTAGGCTGGAAAAATGAAAGTGGTCAAGACACCTTGGAGACTAAGATATCAAAGTTTAAAAAAAATACAGAAGGTGAAGCACAGATTGTTGCTGCAGTGGACACTTTTCATTGTTTTATCACTCTGTTTCACTTCAGCTCTTTGTTATCTCATAACTTTGCTCCTCTCTGTCGCTGGCAGGACCAGCAAGCGCACAAGTGAGAGCAGCCCACAGACCAGTTGTTTGTGACACTGCCCCCTGGTGATAGTAAAGATGTAACTGATGGTCTGTAGAGCTGATGGCAGAACCATGTTTTCCCCATTGCAGGCAGATAAATAAATCATTTGAAAACAGTTTCCTTAAAATCGCTGGTTTCACTGTTTAATTATTGAATCAGTTATTTTGTTTTTCAGTTGACAATGAAGGCACCTTGAAGTATTTGGCAACTGTCTATGCCAGCAATCACCCCAAAATGCACCTTGGGAACACTGAATGTTCAAATAATGGGCAGAGTAAGTCATACGACTGCTACATATGCTTGTCATGTCGGTCATGCAAATAAGTGGTTAATGGCCAAGTTTTGCTTTACTCATTAGGCAACATCCCAGATGGAGTTATGAGAGCAGCGGAGAGACAAAGTCATCTGGGAAGCATGAAGGTAAGTGTGTGTCTGTGCTGTCATTTTCTGTAATTAAGTTGGCATCCATCATGTCATTGTGTACAATCTAAAAACAAAAGGCACTACTTCATATTTAATTGGAAATGGAGTCAAGAGTGTTTGTTTTGAAAACTTCCTTGACAATTCTGAGAATCTTGAAGTTCATTTGGAGTTATTGATCAAGTGAAAATGAGAAGTAAAGCATAGGAAATGCATCAGCTTATGTCCACATCTCCTTTCCAGGACTTCAATATGGACTTTGGCCATTGTCCAGAAATCACAGTGTACACTGGCTGCTGTCTGTTTCCTCCCGCTGAGCAGCTGGCCACACTCTGGACTGAGAACAAGAAGTCTCTGCTAAGCATGTTGGTAGAGGTATGATGCATGATTTTATTAGGCAACTGCAGCGACATTGACATTTATTTATTTTACAAGTTATGGCTGCTGTAATACATAGTTTGTATTTTAATGAACTGTCATACAGCCACGCATTTCTCTTTGTTTCTGCTCCTTCCAGATCCATAAAGGTGTGCGAGGCATAGTGAGAGACAAGAGTGGAAAACCAATTGTTGGGGCGATCGTTATACTGAACGGAGGAGTGAGACTGTTTACTGTGGAAGGTGGCTACTTCCATGCCCTGCTAGCTCCTGGCACTCACAATATTGAAGCAGTTGCTGAAGGCTACCAACGCCAGCGTCAGAAGGTACTGTCTTCAACAGAATGTACTCGCTCGCAGGAAGAATAATATAATAGTTTACTGCTGTACACACAGACGCACACACGGTAATTATTTGTTGTTCAGAGGTTTATCATGAGGAGCTTCATTTAAAACATTTGAAGCTTTTAGTCAAAAACATTAGAAATATGATTATTACAATCATCCCACGCAAGGGTTGCAGATGAACAAAATGAAGCAACATAAAGACACATAAATAAGAATAACTCTACTACAGGTCTCATTTATGGTCTATATCTATGCAAGGTGTGGGACGTAGTAGACAAAATCTCTCCATCACCTCCACCTTTCCTTTTGGATGCTCTGCCATTTGAAGCATGGGGTAGGCCAGCTCTCTAAACAGATTTTCCTTGATGGTGTGTCCAAGATCCAGACTGTAGGCTGCGAGCTTCCCGCATGGCTTAAAGAGCAAGGGATCCACCACCGAGTGATAAATCTGCTGGTAGTCTCGCACTGTGAAACCGTGGATCATGAGCTCGTCACTGGAGTTTCCCTCTTCAGTAGTGACAACTCTGTTGCTCCGTGGCAGGTCTAAAAGATCTGGAAGAGCGGCGGCATTCCTTATATATCTGTCATCCAAGGGTTTTTTGTGGTCCGTTTCTTTTTGCTCCCACACAAGGTGCAAATCGTAAGCTGGAGCCAGCAAATATTTTCTCTCCTTAATCGTCTCGCCATATTTCTTAGGACACCGAATACTCTGCCTTAGACCATAGGGACGCATCTCATACCTCTGCAAAGAAGAGTGGTGTCAGTTTTGGTTGTGCCCCTTCAGGTTCTTTTGTGTGTTTATCATATATATTGCAACAAAAATATACGGTTACTGGGGGGGGAAGAAACCATTAAGGTACTTACTCGGTGTATTTTCAGTCAACATCACTAAAAAAGGTCTGAAAATGTGGTTTTAATCCTTAATTCCTAACTAAGTACAGCTTTCCCATTTTTCTTTACACTGGATCATGAAATCGCTTCTTTGCTGCTGAAAACAATCAAGCAGGTTGCAAAAAGTAAGTCCTGAGATTCTTGTAATTTACCTCTGGGGTGAGTAAATTGAGATTTTTAGCACTTTTTCAGACATCAGACACAACCTGCACCAGATTATACAAAGCAGGCGCACCTGCGAGTAGCTCTTGCTGATTAGATAGTTAACAAGCCCAACTTCCAAGGAGCTTCAGCAGAGTGCTTAAAAACACTTTACCTCTCTGACAAAACAGCTCGATGTTTTCTTTTTGTTGCAAGTTTTAAGTCCTTTAATAAAAGCAACAAAAAACCCCTAATGAAACTTTGAGGTCCAAATGCTTCAAATATCTTTTGAGTTGTTTGTGAAATCCTGGAAATCTGTTTGAAGAGCCTTGATTGACATGACCATCAACTTTTTTAAGAAGCCTCTGATGACTACAGGAGAGAAGTGATTCTTATGTTTGACAACTTTCTGCTATCTAACTTTTAAATATTTCTTCTATCTTTTAGGTCGTGGTATCTTCCTTTGAAGCTGCTACTTCCATCATCATAGAGTTTGACATGGACAACAACATCTTTGGCCTTCCCAGAGAGTTTGTTGTAGCCAGTGCAGGTAAGCATGTCTTATAATGCAGCTTTTTGTCACCTGCTGAGAGCTGTCGTCGCATGAATTATGCTCCTTGTTCATGAACAAGATAGATTTTCAGTGTTTCAGTAGATTATGTATTTCAAATTAAGTCTTAATGGTGGTAAAATCCACTGGCAGTTACTGTAGATCTCAGCTCTTTTGAGAAAGAGTGTAATTTTATTAAATTAAGAACAAAGTATACATAATGCCAAGTCATGCATGAATATTCTGTTCCTCCCCACAGCCGCCACCATGACAGCACTGGTGGTGACAGCGTGCATCATCTGGTGCGTGTGTGCCGCTAAGTCTAATCGCCAAAAAGATGGCTTCCACCGTTTGCGCCAACACAGAGACGATTATGACGACGAGGTCCGGCTCACCTCTATGGGCTCCAAAAAGTCCCTGCTTGCCCACGAGTTTCAGGACGAAAGCGAAAGCGACGAGGAGACGTTGTATGCCAACAAAATCTGAGGAACACAGCAAAAGTTTTTGTTTGCTAAGTGTTTTATTTGAAGCTCAGCCCCCTCCTCGCTGTCTCCCAAAGATCAAACACCTGACCCACGAGGACCACCATGAACTTGACCTCCATCTCTTTTTATGGCCAGTATGAAGGGGATGGAGACTATTTCTGTTACACCAGTATATTCTGAGGACCCTCTCCCTGTCATCCTGTCAGTGTCTGGACTGCAGGGGCTGCTTTTCTTCTTTTTCCTTGCAGATTTCTCTGATCAACTTGTTCAACATATGGAACAAGGAAGAAATTAACAAAAGGAGGGTGGAAAAAGTGGTTCACTCCACCTTTGTCGTCATCCAGCCCTTACAGCAGCTTGCTTCTTTGTTTTGTTTTGTGTTTTTTGTTGTTGTTGTTGTTATCCGAGCCAACCAAGAATCCTGTAAGACGACCACACATCCTGCCCGGCTGAGACATCAAGCCGAAATGTCCAAATAACTTTAGATAAAAGTGCGTTATTTTCCTTGTTTCTCTTCACTAATGTCTGTGAGCACCATGTATTTATTTTTATAACGGCTTTGAATTAGAAAGTAGGTTATTTCTCTGTGTCCAAGCCTTTGGGAGACTGAATCCAGTTCTGTGCCTTGGCTTCCATAAAGTTTACAGTCTCAGTCAGGCTGTAATGTGTGGCTGAAAGTAACATACTGGAAATATAATACCATAATACTGGAATTTGATCCATCTTATACTCAGGTGGAGTGAAAGAGAAACTTTTTTTTTTTTCTTGCCTCCTTCTTCTGCCGCCCCCTCCCTTCCAAAGATGAGTGGAACCATCAGGGAGAATGTTACAAGGCTTGAATGAAATGTTTACCAGAAAGTGGAGTGTGGACTTGATATATGTACGGTGGGGGGTGATGTGGGTTGGAGGGACTTGCACAAATTGGAAAGAATCACCCTTAATTTTTGGCCACAAAAAACAATGAATCTTTAAATCTGTAATCATAAAAAGAATGTATTTTTATTTCCTTGTTGTTTTAACAATAAGTTTGTTTGCAAGATAATTTCTGTATATGGAAACTTACTACTTTTGTGTCCATCACCTTTTGATCACAGATCACTATGTGTAATCTTTATGATTTGAGTTTTTATCTGAATATATTTGGCTTTTTTGCCTTTTTTGTTCTAAATATTTTGATCACAGAATGAAAACCAGGTTTGACCATTCATGACTGTCTAAAACACCCATACCACACCATATAAAGGTTTTATAATCTTATATCTTTCCTGACTTATTTTAAATTGCAGTGATTGAGATAATTATGAGTTTGAAGTTTTTTGTGTTGGTAGTCCATCAGAGACCCTTTTGTCACTGTGTGAGGAACAGTGACAGCTGGAACAGGCTCCAGTCCCCAGCAGCACCATTTCAAATCACTGCGCTGGATCCTTGATCTGTTAAGTATCTCCTGGGTTGGAAATTCACGCTGTGATTTCTTTACATGGCAGTAGTTTGAAGCAATACAGGTGTGTTCTCTAAAGAATGTGCCCTGATTTTCAGTTTGAGAAGAGATTTCTTGACATCTGTGTAGGGAGACACTTTTGTACATTATTTTTCTTAAACTGTGTGTGTGAGAGAGAGTGGCACCTTTGAAGTTAAGTGCGTGCCACAGTCGGGCAGTTTTGTGTGAACATTTTATATGAACTGGAATCAACTGTAAATAATGTTGGTAATTGTAAAATGTTAACCATGAAACTACATGCAACAAAACATTTAAAATCCTCTTTGTGATGTGCACAAAAACTCACAGAACACAATCAAATAAAACTTCTCACAACACGTTGCTTTTGTGTTTACTTGTATGATAGAGAAATGAGAGTAACTTAATCATGAGGCAGTTTTTTTTTGTTTGTTTTTTTTGCTGCACTAAATTAGTAGGAAACTGGGGATTTTTCACTTGTCAAATTCCCTTGTCGAGGAAAACTGAGCCAAAAAGGAATGAGGGAATTTATTTCCCAGATACCTGCACGTGGTGGTAGCTTGTACCGATGGAACGCATGGGCGGGGGGTTACTGGGCTTAAGCCTGGGTAATTTTTTCAGAACCCCTTTTGGAGTATAATTTGTTTCATAGTTAGATGCCTGACTGACAACTGTATAAAACAAAAGCTACAGACCGTATTGGTTAGCACTGTTGCTGCACAGCAAGAAGGTTCTGAGTTCAATTCCACCATCAGGCCGGGCCTTTCTGTATGGAGTTTGCATGTTCTCCCCGTGTTTGTGTGGGTCCTCCCTGGGTACTCTGGCTTCCTCCCACAGTCCAAACACATGCAGTTAGTGGGGATAGGTTAATTGATTAATCTAAATTGCCCATAGGTGTGAATGTGAGAGCGAATGGTTGTCTGTGTCTCTGTGTTAGCCCTTCGCCAGACTGGCAACCTGTCTAAGGTGTACTATTGACTCCAAATCTCCCGACCACTATGTCGATCTGAGACACCAAGACCAAGACCGGTCTCAAGACATCCAACTCTACCAGTTACTAAAGCAAATCATTCGTACTGTACAAATAATGTAAATATGACTGTGTATCACAAAAGATTGATATCAAACTGATCACTTGACCCATATTATGTTACTTGCTCCTCGAGTGAAACAACAAATTGCGAAGTGAAAAGCCGAACAACAATGCCGTTTTTTTTAGAAAGTCTTAGCTTACATGTGTGTTTATTTGATATTTTCAGTTGTTACCCTCCACGGCTTAATAAAGCACTCTAAATTGGTTTCAGTTATGTACTGTACTGTCAATCTGCCCCAGGGCAGCTGTGGCTACAACTGTAGCTTGCCTCCACCAGTGTGTGAATGTGTGTGTGAATGGGTCGATGACTGGGTGTGTAAAGCGCTTTGGGGTGCCTAGGGGGGACTAGTAAAAGCACCATACAAATACAGGCCATTTACCATTTACTGATGAACTTAACATTTACCTGAGTTTTTTCTTTGAAAGAAGCCCCTTATTTCTATTGTTATTTTATATACAGTAGTATGTTGTTCAGTATATCTGTATGCAAAACAAGAGGAATTTCAACACACAGCAGTATATTCACAGTTGAAACCAGAAATTTACATACACTTTATGGAAAAAACAAGAAGATTTTTTTTTACTGTTAAACATCAATTTAGAGTAAACGTTTTTGTTTTAGATAAATAAATATTGAAATATCTTTTGAATTAGTTAAATGTCAGAATAAAGAGAGAGAACTATTTTTTTTATCACTTTTATCAAATTTAGGAGTACATGTACACTAAGTTTATTGTTAATTAATAAGAAAACTGCAGACGATTCCATTCTGAGCTGAAGAAGCTTCTGATAGGTTAGTAGAGTCCATGTGAGTAAATTGGTGGCACACCTGTGGATGCGAATAAGGCAAAACACAGAGCCTGTTTCTTTGACATGGGAAAATCAAGAGATGTCAACCAAAACACCAGGAAAAGAACTGTGGAGCTCCATAAGTGTGGCTCAATTTTGAATACAATTTGGTGCCATTTGCAATTAAGGAATACAGACAATTTCTCTCTTTACTCTTAAAGTTAACAAATATGTTTTTTATATTTATCCATCTAAAAAAATAAACATTTAGTCTGATTTGATGTTACAATTAAAAAAGTATTTGTGTTTTTATCTGAAGAGTATGTAAATTTCTGGTTTCAACTGCATATTTGATGATGTTGGTGTTTGGCTTGATTGTCAGCACAAAGAGGGAGAGAGAGGGAGGAAGAGAGAGAGGAGCAGAGAGAGAGAGAGAGGAGCAGAGAGAGAGAGAGGGAGAGAGAGAGGGAGAGAGAGAATGAGGACAGAACAGAGATGGAACAAGAGCAGGTGAGACAGACATGTTAGTCACATGGTTGTTTACCAAAACTCAACAGAACGTGTATCTAGTACCTAGTGTTTCTTTTTAGGTTTGTTATTTTTCAAATTCTATATTTATTAATTTATGCAGGCTTGTTTGCACAACAAGGCTAAATAATTATATAAACTTCTCAATCGAAATAGTGTTCTTTGGTAGAATTAAAAAATAAGTGTAGTGCAGGTCTATGATGATTTTCACAGTTTTGATTCTGGTTCTGTTTTGGTTACGTCCTAAAGTAGTCCTGATTTTGAACTGTTGTAGTCCTGTTTTAATTCCCGATCCGTTCTGGATCTGGTTGAATTGGGGTTTAGTCCTCGTGCCTTGATTTGTTCTGCCTTGCTGCTTGATTAACAAACTAGTTTAAGGTGTCCTGCATATGTGATTTTTTTTCCCTATATGAAGTCATTCTTTTTTGAACATAACTCAAAACACAGCCAAATAAATCTTTCAGTCATTTCTAACACCCCCCCCATCTCACATGCATACTACCTTTTAGGGCTAAGCCCCGGGTGTATAAAATGTCTGGCTCCGCCTCTGCTTGAAAATAACTTAAAAGTTTATTTTGTGACCCAGAAAGAGTAATATTTAAAAGTTTTTAGCTGTGCTCCTCCAATCCAATATCTGACAAGCACACCAACCACAGAAGCAGCAGCAGTGATGAGAGCATGGGAGATGCAGCAGATTGATCCAAAACTTATGCAGAGTTCATTCCCGCCACAATAAAGGGATTTCCGGAAGTGGGGTCAGATGTTACCTTGGTTACACAGGCCTAATGTAGAGTAGGTTTTTTTTGAAAACTTTATACAATCAGGCAATCTGAGAACAAAGCATGATGTATAGACCAGCAAAGTCATGCTACATGTAATTAGCAACCACTTTATTAGGTACATCTGTTCCACTATTCATTGCAGTAATCCACAAATCTAATCATCCTTTTGCAGCAACTCAAAGCACTTAGACATGCAAACATCCTCAAGACAGCCTGCTGAAACCAAACAGAGGAAGAATGATGAATAAATGTGGCATGGCTGTTGTTGTCAGATGGCCTGGTGTGAATATTTCATAGGAGTGGGTTAAAAAAAAAAGATTTTCCAGTTCAAATCAATTATAGCTTAAATAATGCGATATTGATTCATTAAATCCTGAATCGATTTTTGAATAAATATGTATTTTGTAAGAATCGCCAGAATCTCAGGTTAAAGCTATTTCAACAACCACCAAACAGCTAAAACAGCAAATGAGAGCAGGCAAACAGATTACACACAAACATGTAAACACAAAGTGCGGGCCCCAACACATCAAAATCTGTGAGTTGTCGGCTTTCTCGCCCAACATGCCGCTGTGGCTGAAAGCCAACATCTCACAAATTCTGAAGCTGCAGGTTTTGTCACTCTTCAACCAAAACTGACTGAACAAGCAGCAAAAGAAGATCAAAATTACACTTCACATTTAATAAATACCATCATGAATTCCCTCTTACTTTCGCTGTTTTGCTTCCACCACAATAAAAATCGCACTTCCTGCACAACCCTCTCTCTATCTGTGTACTTCAAGAACAGTTTTCCATTCAAATCTCTGTTTTGTGCATGATTCACTTGCAGTGTTGGGGAGTAACGGAATACATGTACCGCCGTTACGTATTTAAAATACAAAATATGAGTAACTGTATTCCGTTACAGTTACCGTTTAAAAAGGTGGTATTCAGAATACAGTTACTTTGTTGAAATAAATGGATTACACTGCGGTACTTTCCTGTTTGATATTGTCGCGGGTCAGGACTGTTTGGGTTTGTTTGACAGCTACCTTCTGTTGTTCCAGGCGGCAGCGTTACGGTTGCCATGGTTACAGGGCGACGCTCTCTCTCTCTCTGCGACTGTGTGTTTCCTGGGTGAGAGAGCGCCTTTTTGTTGTTGTTGTTGTGCTAAGCTAACAGGCAGAATGCTACAAGCATAGCTCTAAAGAATGTAGCCTCATGGGCAGTGTAGTCCGTGTTGCAGGGAGAATGGACTGCCATACACGTTATGGGTCTGTGAGCGCGAGGAGGGAGAAAAAGGGGAGTGGAAAGGTACGAGTTGTCATCGAGGAAAAACGGGAGCTGGAAGCATGTAAATATAATAATAACCACTGCAGCCAAGAAGAGAGCCTGACGAGCCCAGTTGTAAGTAAGCTATTAAGACTCGACTGTACACCGTGTTCGTGTTTTCCTCCGAAACAATAAGTTCCGTTGGAGCAGCCTTTCAACGCCTCTCTCTGTCTCTCGCAAGAAAAGTTGACCCACACAACAAAGTAAAGCTATTTTTCGGCTACCAGCCGACAGGGACCCCGCCGTATTAGTCAGAGGTCCCTTTACTACAGTTCGAAGTCGCTGACCTTCAGTAACAGTAATAAATCACACAGCAATAGTACATTCACGTTGTTGTAAAAAGCATGATAATATATTAAGTAATCCAAAGTATTCAGAATACGTTACTGTCATTGAGTAACGTAACGGAATACGTTACAGAATACATTTTGGGGCATGTAATCTGTATTCTGTAATGGAATACATTTTAAAAGTAACCTTCCCAACACTGTTCACTTGGTTATGCTTTTCTTCTCTGAGCACTCAAAGTGCTTTATACAACTAATTCATTCACTCAATCTCACCCATTCACACAAGCACTTTTCCCAAGCTGTTAGTGCATTCATGAATGCACCAACGTAATGTAATGTAAAAGGTTTATATCTTGCCCAAGGATATTTGGCAAGTAGACTAGCAGAAAGCCATGAATCAAGCCACCAACCTTCCGATCAGTAGATGACCTGCTCTATCTGCCTGAGCTACAGCCAGGTGTGCCACAAGGGTCCTGTTTGGGACCTTTATTGTTGTTGTTGTAATTGCTTTCTCTTCAGCACCTTCTGAGCACTCTTAAGAAGAATTTCTTATCACTACTATACAGATGATATTCAGTTATATATCTCCTTTAAGCCCCAAGATGTTTCCAAACTACTTTGCATAGGCGCATAGACTCCATTAGAGGTTGGATGGCTGATAACTTTCTTCAACTTAATGAGGAGAAAACCAAAGTCCTTCTTTGTGCTTCCGATAAATTTGTGCCCAAGGTTATGGAAAATGTAGGTCCTCTTGCTACATTTGCCAAATCCTCTACTAGGGATCTTGGAGTAAACTTTGACTCAGCTCTGACTTTGGACGCTCATGTTAAATCTCTGGTTTGCTCCTGTTATTATATTTTAAGAAACATTGCAAAGCTGAATCCATTGTGTCATGCTCAGAACTCGAAATTGTCATACACGCATTTCCTTCATCTCGTTCGGACTATTGTAATTCTTTGTTCACTTGTTTATGTAATTCCTCCTGGGAACGTCTGCAGGGTGTTCAGAATGCTGCTGCAAGGCTTCTGACCTTGTCGTCCAAGTACTCTCATGTCACACACCTGTTGATCCAGCTGCACTGGCTCCCCATTAAATTCAGAGTCCACTTTAAGAATATGACTTTAACATTAAGGGCTCTGGATGAACAGGCACCGACATATATCAGAGATCTTTAATATCCATACATCGCCAGCAGGTCCCTGAGATCATGTGATCAGGGCTTGCTGGTTGTAAATTTCAAAACTCAACCCCATCAATTAATTTGTTTTTGATTGAAATTGAATATTACTTAAACTCTCTTAAATTAACTTCCAATAAAAAAGGTTTATCATTGATTGGAGTTCATTCAGAAATGTTTAAGGTATGAGCTGTCACAACTTTCAAGTACAAAGTTGTTATGAAGTCTGTCACATCCCCCCCCCCCCTTTTTGTCTTTTTTTTATCCTTTATTTATTTATCCTTCTTATTTCATTGTACTGTATATTGTTACTCTTATTTGCCTTGTATATCTACTGTACAAACTGAACTGGAATGACTGACTGTTCGCTTTATAAGTTCAATAAAGTTTGGAAAAAAAACCCTCTTCGGCCGCTCCCTTCTGCCGTATTTTGCGGCAAAATTATCCACACCCACCGCCGCGCTATGAATTGTTGGATATATGGGACCACGAAGCGTGCACCGGACCACGCTTGATATTTGGGGAAATCGACGGCGCATTTGGAGTATGCATTTGAAGTACACTTCGAATTGGGACAGCCGTCGTCGCGTGGCGGTGACGTAACCGCACTTGAAATGCGTACTTCAAGCGTGCAGACCCTGAATTGGGACACAGCCTTACTCTGCCCAGGCTGCTACTGATCTCTAGGTGACGCTGTGTTGTAGCTGATTGGCTGACGCGGTCGTGCGGTACGTCCTGTACGTTTTCTGCTGACACGTGACAGTACCCGGATTTTGGTGACGTCGCAGAACAACAAAGATGGCAGGAATAGGAACCAGCACGTACTGGGAAGGTAAGGCAACACTCGAGCCTGTTTACAGCAAGTAGTATTATAACAGCACTTTTTTCTTTTTTTTTTTTACCGTTTTCATAATATCAGCAATCAATTTGCCCCTGTCACGCCACCTCTGGCTGTAAGAAACATGGTTTAAAAACATACATGCCACTACAATACCAAGTTAGCTCCCAACAAGCTAGCGAACTAGACGCCGTGTAAGTTCATTTAACTCTGTTCCTTCGGCGGTTTAAGCCGTGTCGTTGATCTAAATAGCTTATCAGCCTGGCACATCGAGTGTGTCAGCTGCTTCGTTAATTGTCGGCAGTGAGCAGATAGCGTTTTCATATTTTCCCCCCCTTGGTTAATGTAGTGTTAAAACAATGAGCTTTGTTGCTATAACGGTCTTGTTGCTTTAGCTTTCGGTAGCACAGGAGTTTTTTTTTGTTGATGTTTAATGCAGAAAACAAAATGGCATATTTTTTAAAATTGCCCCCCCCCAATCCGGTGACAACTGATACAACTGTATCAGTTGTCACTGGATTAGAGGCGGGGTACTCCCTGAACAAGTCACAACTAAAACAACTAAATTGCTCATGGGACATTTCACCTTCGTAGTACCATGTTGGACCCGACTTTGGTCAGAGACTTTGGTCTATATTCGCATGAAAACATCACACAGTTGGCGCCAATTTGTGAATCTCCTGTACCACTACATCCCAAAAATGCTCTATTGAGATCTGAAGCCAGTGGTAGCCATTTGAGCACAGTAAAGTCATTATTATGTTCAGGAAACCAGTTTAAGGTGATTTGAGGTTTGTGGAATGGTGTATTATCCTGCTGGAAACAGCCATCAAAACTGTGGTTATAAAGGGATGGATATGATCAGCAACAAGACTCTGGTAGGCTGCTGCATTTAATTAATAATAATAATAATAAATTTTATTTATGAGCGCCTTTCAAGTCACCCAAGGACACTTTACAATAGGATAAAACACTTAGTAATTGATGCTCATTTGGAGATAAGGGACCTGGTAATAGCCAGCAGACCATTATAACACCACTATGAGCTTGAGCTATTGATTCAAGGCCAAATGGAGCCATGTTTTCCTGTTTTTTTTAGGATCCTGCTATTTTAATGTTGCAGCAGAAATTAAGACACATGTACCAGGCAACGTTTTTCCAATCCTCTACTGTCCATCTTTGGTGAACCTGTGAACTGTAATCTTACTACCCTGTTTTGTCCTTAGCTGTCAGAAATGACACCCAGTGTGCTGTAGGTAGGTTATCTGCTTTAAGGTTTGATGTATAGTGCATTCAGTGATGTTCTTCTCCATACTTTGGTTCTTACAATTGTTTTTGTTTTCTATTTAAGTAGTTCTTGTTGCCTTCCTGTCAACTTGAAGCAGTCTGCCCATTCTCCTCTGTCTTCAACAAGGCATTGTCTGCCAGGGAATTGTTGCTCACTTGATATTTTATGTTGATATTTTATGTTTTTGGACCATTTTTTTGTAACCCCTAGAAATGGTCATGTGGAAAAATCCTGAGTCTGAGTTTGTGAAATACTCAGACCACCCTATCTGCCATCAACAACCATGCCACATTCAAGTCACACAAATAACCTTCCTTGACAATTTGAACTTCAACAGGTTGTCTTGACTATGTCTTGACTTGACTATGCCTAAATGCATTGAATTGAAGCAAAAATTTCCCCGTTGTGGGATCAATGAAGTCTTATCTTATCTTATCTTATCTTATCTTATCTTATCTAATTGATTGTCTGAGAGTGTCACCATCTACCGGAACCGTGTTTACACATATACTTGGCCAATAAACACGATTCTGATTCTTCTTATTATGATATTTGCTTTAATGAGTATTTGGATGTGTGTATTAAACAAATTGGCTAGAAAGTGTTTAATAGTGCAGGGCAATATGGCCAAAAATATTTATCACGATATATATTTTGAAATTTGCAATAACGATATAACTGACGGTAAGCACAACCAGAATTCATACATACGGCGCACTTCAATTTTTCAGAAAATCAAAGGATTGATTTTAAGAGCGACTTATTTTCCAAAAAACACGGTAATAACGACAGCCCGCTAGCATGCTCTACCAAAAATAGTGCTTTGGTGTGTATCTGACGGACGAAAGCTAAACCACACCACTGAACCATTTTTACAAACCAATTCTGGTTCATCTGTTTCATTCAACGATCTGCTTTCGCCCTTCTCATTCTCTGTCGCCGCCATGCTTTTTCTGCCAGGTGCGTATGAAAACAAAGGCACTGCGCATGCACGCTTTACCCATATTCTATCGCGATATTTCATTTTCTTATCATTGCCCAACATTATACCGGTATTACCGTGAACGGTATGATAGGGCCCAGCCCTAGTGTTTAACATAAATTATTCCTCTGTATAGGTTTCAGTGTTACATTTTTTGGATATCTGATATAAAATATTTTTAATAGAAGATGCACAAAAAGATTTTCAGTTTTGAAAATCTTGTCATGGTGAAATTTTGTTCTACATAGCTCTCATACTCTACTATACACTCTCTGCACAGTCAGCAACAGACAAAATAGACATCACAGCTGAGCAGTAGAGTCAAGTTGTCTTCATGTTGAGTTGCTAATTAAGAAAATAGCATTACAAAAAAGTTGAATGGACCATCTATCTATCTCTCTCTATCTATCAATCAATCATCTACTCTGGGGCAATACTTAATTGATGGTGTTTTAGTTATTTTTAAGTATTTTATTGGGTTGATTGCTTCTGTTACAGATCTGCGAAAGCAGGCCAGACAGTTGGAGAACGAACTTGACCTGAAGTTGGTCTCTTTCAGTAAATTATGCACCAGCTACAGCAGCTCCAGAGATGGACGTCGAGGAGACACGTAAGATTTAGGCTTCTCACTCAACCGCAGAGTTAATAACTACTAAAAAGCTGAAATAATTAATATTCTTTTAGCAATAAATCTTTACCAAATGTAAAGATGTATTTATTGTATTTTATTGTTGTCATATTTAATCACATATTTAATATTATTCTTAAAAACAACGATATAGTAAAAAGATATAAAGATATAATGAAAGCAAAGATTGGTTCCAAAGCTTAAACTTAATGTTTTTTATTTTATTTTATTGGAGTTGAAAATGGGTTACTAGTCAAAATGTTATTATTTTTAATTATATTCATCATTCAGAGTTTTCATATCTAGCCTGAATTGTAATTGTTAAAATGCATATTTGTTAATCAGCTAATCTACAGCCACCCCTAAAGTAGCTTGAATGGAATATTCTAACACAAAAACTACATGTTTCTTTATTGCAGACCTTAAGGATTTTGAGACCAAGTAGGCTTTTGAAACATTACCAATCAAGAAAAAAAAACTTGATTACTTACTTCTGTTTGATTACAGTTATTTATTTTTTACTAACAGCTTTAAATTCTTTATTTGATGAATGTGTAATTTCTGCTATGAAATAAAGCACATTTCTTATCCATTAAACACAAGAAAACAGTACAAGATTTTTTTTAATGTGAGTTAAAAACCAATTACAAATAAGCTGCTTTAAATAAAAATTCTTAATATTCTTCCATCTTATTTTTCCTTTCAGGTCAGACACCACACCTCTGCTAAACAACTCTACCCAGGACAGGATGTTTGACACCATGTCAGTGGAGATTGAACAGTTGCTAGCCAAAGTAAGTAAATTGTCTCAGGTCAGTGGAAAAGGACGGCAAAAAGAATATAATAAGAACAGAAATGGAAATATGCCTCGTCCTTCGTGTCTATCCATCCGTCCACTCTGTTTCCTTCTCTCTCTCAGCTGACTGCAGTGAATGACAAGATGGCGGAGTACACCAACTCTCCGGGCGCAGCTGCTCTCAACGCTGCTCTCATGCACACGCTCCAGAGGCACAGGGACATCCTACAGGTTTGCTGTCTTGTTCCTTTTTTCCTGTCGCTCATCTGTTTTCTATAGTTTTTTTTAACATTTTTATTTAATTGAAATCATTTTCTTTCATAGCGACTTCTTCTCAGTTATAGTTACTGAACTCAATGAAGAGCCCAAGAACTACTTTCTAAAGCACATACTGAGTCTTAGGCTACGTTCACGCTGCAGGCGAAAGCACATCAAATCTGACTTTTTTGACCCTGTGCGACCCATATCCAATCATGGTGTGACAGTGTGAACGGCACAAATCCGATATTTTCAAATCCGATCTGGGTCACTTTCGTATGTGGTGCTGAATCCGATACATATCTGATGTTTTAGAAAGGGACTGCTGCTTGAATGGTCAGGTCGCATTAAATCCGACTTCTACGTCACTGACACAAGACAGACACCAATTATCAGTGCCGGAGAAGCGCCCGATAAGACATCGCGAACGCTTCCTGGCCGTCCATTGCAGATGTTAGTGAAACTGTTGGGAAGACAACGTTGGAGAAACGTGAACATTTTATTTGTACTGTATAATCTGCAGATTCTGACAGAAATCTGCAACTATCCTTTGAAGCACCGCTCCTCTAAAACAGCAATAAGGATAATTATTAGGCCATATGTAAATAACAAAATAACTTTATAACTTAAAGCAAAATTGAGAAACGTGAAGTCTGAAACAAGTCTTTATATTAACGGCCATCAGTCAAACAATACTGTTTGGTCTGGGTCTAAACAGAGCGCGTTGTGTGTGACGTCTTCTTTTGTGCATGCAGGCCGCTTTGAGGGTTCACACTAAAGCGCGTTTGCTGTCACATTTTATTTGTAGTATGAAGAAGTAGACAAAAAAATCGGATTTGATCAAAAAATTGGAATTGAGTAATAAGACCTGCAGTGTGAACCTAGCCTTAGTGGTTCAGTTTTGTCCTGTTTACCACTTGTTTGTTTGTCTGTCTTTCCTGTATTCCTTTTTTTAAAAACAAAACAAAAAAACCTTTATTTTCCTCGAAGGACTACACACATGAATTCCACAAAACCAAAGGCAACTTTTTGGCCATCCGGGAAAGGGAAGACCTTCTAGGGTCTGTCAGGAAAGACATTGAGTGAGTACTCAGTCACAGCACCTTCTAATTTCATTTAGCTTTTATAGCAGTGTGGGAATGTTTTAATTAATTAATTAATTATTATTTTTATTAATGTCGTTGTTGTTGTTGTTTATTATATTATAGTAAATGATAAGATCCTACACACGCATGCTTTCTTGTGTTTTGATCTGAAAGGGTGCTGAGCAATAAAAACGGTCAAGCACTGCTCTTATGTCGTAGACCTTATTCCTGAGAGGAATACGGTAATTGAAACTTCACTTCCATTTGGCATGTTCTTGAACAAATAGAAGATTCGTGCTCACTTTGGCCTTGCATTGAGGAAGTGCATCCTCTCTTCAGATTTGCACAGTTTGAGGGAATTTATTGAAACGAAGGTCTCCCTAGACCATGAGTCTTCTTTTTGCAGTGGCTTATTGATCTGTGGAAGGCACTGATGATGGCAAACAGTGAGCACTGCAGGATTCTTATTGATCCTTCCCTGTCCATCTAGAGTACAAAGAGAAGAGTTCTCATGCAGAGGCGTCTTGCAGGCAGGCATACATGTTCAATAGGAATACACTCACTTAACTATGTATAAATATACAAATGTAGTATTCATTAAGTAATTTATAAAGCTCTTAAGGAGCTTACTATAAATTAAAATAGTTTACATTTTTCCAGAATGACCTGAGTGTGAAAAAACAACAGATTAAACAGCATTGGGTGCAGTTTTTCATTTAAATTATGAAACTAAGGATAGGGTACAGGATACTAAGCAGACTTTTGTGTAATACCAATTTGTGTCACGAGATGTTGTATCAAGTCATTGGACCCTCGAGTGTGTCTTGAGTCCAGCACAAGAAGAAGGTAAAATACCGATGAAATGACAGATATTGTGGTGAATCAGACACTGCTAGAAAATGATGCCTTAACCACCAGCAGCAGTAAAGGAGCAGTCAAATGCATGATTTTATTCTCTCTGTTTTAACAGAGGACGGGAGAGGTTATCAAATATAGTGTGAATCTTTACTTAATAAAGTATTAATCAGGATTTTCATTACATTTGAAATCACTGAAAGTAATATTTTTTTTAAGGACGCAAATGTATCTCTTTATTTTAGGAGCCACTTCATTACATAGGACATCGGTGGAGCTTTTTTTTTTTTTTTGGCCAATTGTTTTTATTTTGGGTTTTTTTCCACTTTAATGTTTTTTCTGCTTTTTCACCACTTTAAAAGCACCTTTGTCTGATCTTTTAAGTGCAAAAGATGCATTTTCATACAGTTTTCTAGCATGATGTGGCAACTTATTGCCTAGCAACCGGAAAATGACTTTTAATTAAAGAGACCACCCCTTATCTGAATGATCCTAAGTATCAATACTGGCAAATAATAGACAGAAAGCAATAAGATGTGACTTGAAAATATATGACAAAATTCTGTTGTCGAAAACAGCAAAAACAATTTCCTGATCACAGAATTCTGGACTTTGTGTTTTTACATTGTCTTCTTGGCAGCACAGTTTAAGCCTTGGCCTATCTGAACACTAACGTAGTTACAAGATGCTTTTATAAAATACAATTTTGGGGTCAGTACAGAAATGTGTAAAATATCATGACATTAATACAGTGATGGAATATCTGGTGCAGCTAAGCATTTTCTCTTTTGTCAGGCAGAGGGCAGTAGAGCTCTTGGCTGTGAAGTAAATGGACCAGCACACGTTTCAGAATATGTTTTCCATGTGGTAACAAGAAGGAGTCCAAACTATCTAATTGATACAAGCACTCAAATGAAACAGTGAGGCATATATCAAACACCATATCAATAACTTGCATTGTGCTTACAGACTACTGAAGCACACACACACCACATTCATAGTAATAGCATGCTGCAGAGCTGAGCTGAGATGTAACAACCCTTCTTCTCCTGCTTTGATTTTTAAATGTCAGCAACAAAAATGACAGTTTTCTATGATTTACATTGGTGCCCTTTTAAAAAGCCTCGCCGGAGTGATGAATCGATCTGTCAGTACAAAGAATTCTGGTCCCACAGAAGCATCAGCCCAGTTGCTAGGGTGGTCAGATTGGGCTCAAGGCAGTCACTCTGGGGTGTACTATATGTGCTCATAGCCTTCCTCCTCCCCTGCTCGACGAGAGGGTGGGGCAGTGTTAAATGACCAGAAACGAAGAAGGCATGGGAGTCAGCAGTTCAGGGCTGCTGATAGCTAGAGATTCATCAAACAGAAAAGAATGGGTTTGCTGTGTTTACTTTGTGAGTGGTGCAACGCCCATTCATCACTTCTGACTGCTCAGTAGAGGAGAGCACGGTTCTTTTTCTGTTTCTTCATTAACCATAAAAAAAATCTCTTTTTCTCCTTTTTTTTTCTCTAGGAAAACAGTTCTTTGAATTTTGCTTTGTTCACTGAAGCAGCTTTAATTCAAAAGATCTGACAAAAATGACACATTTAAGGAATCATTATTTTTAAATGTCCCTGCAGTTTCTCAGACTCAGACCTACTTGGGCAGTTGGCCAATCATGGCTTATAGTTTTATGGAAACGCAATATTTAGTCTGAAGAATTATTATTATTGCAAAGGGTGGCATCCTTGGTGTGAAAATACAAAAAGGAAATTAGATATTTGATGCAGTGTTAAAAAAAAGAATGGGTTAGAAACACAAAAAGAGCCATGAAAGACAATCAAGTCGTTAAAAAAAAAGTTTAAAATGCTTACCTTCTCTGTCTGGCTTTTCTGATTAATTAATCATTACATAATCACTGTATGCAATAGCCATATATGCTACAAATATTAGCAGTTTGTGTGAATTAGTAAAGCGCTACCATACCAGTAAAGCGATTAACACCTTTAACGCTGTTATCACATTGCTAATGTGCAGTTTAAGGAACAAGGCCTTTACATTTTTATATTCCTTGTATATGCTGTGTGTTTTAGTGGTCCTTGCAAAGAAGAGTGAGATCTGCAGGATAAAACGCAGATTGTCACCTCACTTTGAAAGTTAGCCAGCCTTTGGTACCCTGTGGCAATCTGCTTGTGAAAATTACATTGGCAGCCTTACAGATTGCTCCTTTTTGATTGACTTCTGATTCTGATGTATGCAAAGTTACAGAGACAAGAAATGGGATCAAGGCTGTCGCCTGTTAACTTGGGCTGTCATTTTAGATTTATTTCTTATCTACACTTTGAAAACTTGATTTTGACACACAAGTAAATCTGACATTGCCTAAATGTTGAAAATTACCATTCATTTAAAAAAAAAGAAAAAAGTATTATTCACGAGTGTATCTGCCTGCCTTTTTAGGACATACAAGAGCGGTTCTGGGGTCAACAACAGAAGAACAGAGCTGTTCCTAAAGGAGCATGAGCATCTGAGAAAGTAAGTTCCCAAAGCATTTGTATTATTTAACCATAGCAGTTAAAAGTAGAATAAGGTTGCCATCCTAAATGTGAAATAGTCCGATATTTTTTTTAGGAAAGCAAGCTGGAATAACCTTGATGGCGCAGGCCCACGATTTGGGAAAAACAAATAAAAATGTCTTTTTCTGACACATTCATTTGTTCTCTTCATGCGTTTACTTCATAGCAGATGTGAAGTTCTTCTGTTAATTCATAACTTAAGGTCTTATATGAGCATGCATGACAGAGAAGATCAAATCCTGATCTCTAGCAACCTTAGTATCCCACAATCTTTTGGCTGACTCTCAACCCCTGCAGAACAGCATGTGGTTCTTTTTTTATGCGTTTCCCTGTGTTTGTGCCAGAGGTGTTAGATGCACACTGCATGGAAAGTAAAATTGGATAGCAGCAGGACACACACACACACACACACACACACACACACACACACAAACATACCCACACAAAGAAACGAAACACAAATTTACCACAGAGCTATTTACATGGCCAATACATAGCAGTGTGACTGATTAGTATTTGCATTTGTTTCCCATATCAAGTTCTCAAAGGAATAATGCTGCAATTATTCCCTCTCAAAGACCTCTCCATTCATTTTCTAACAGGCTTTACCTGCTCCCACAATGCATGGCTAATATTTATATACTGAAATTGATGTTTATGTAATGACCCTTTAAAATACAGTGTGGTCTAGTTAAATAACTTTAATCGCATAGCATTTTATGGATTTTTTTATGTCTTTGAAATAAAGCAGTTACACTTTTTTACTATATGTTCAGTTAAATATAAATTTGCATTTAAATTAGTAACTAACACAAAGCAACTAGCACGAAGGTCAGTAACGCTCCTGTTTCAACAACATTAAATTGTATTTAACAGGTATCTTAAATGTTAATCTAGGCACCTCCTCCAGCTTGCTTGAGGAAACACCAAGAGATTCCCAGGGCAGCCGAGAGCTATTATCTGTCCAACGTGTCCTGGATATGAATATGATCCAGAACCTTATTCTTTTGGTCACTACCCAAGGCTCTTTACAATAGTTGAGGGTAGGGACGTTGGACGACCAGTAAATCGAGACCTTTGCTTTTTCGCTTTGAGTCAATCTCCCACTCCCCTTGCCCATCACTCCTAAACAAGACCTTGAAATATTTAAACTCTTCCGTGGGACAATAACGCATCCCTGACCCGGAGTGGGCACTCCATCTTTTTCTAGCTGACGACCATGGCGTAAAACTTGGAGGTGCTGATTCTCATTCCGTCGCTTCATACTCGGCTGCAAACTGCTCCAGAAAAAATGAACAGAATCTGTGACAAAGGGCAGCACTAGCAAAGTCCAAAACCCACTGGGAACGAGTCTGACTTATTGCTGGCTATGCGGACAAAGCAACAGTTTCTGTGGGATCGAATGGGTCTTGGCAACGGGTCCGACCACGCATACTCCCGAAGCATTTCACACAGAATACTCAGAGGGTATGGCTTCTGCAAGTCCGCAAAACACATGTAGATTGCTTGGGCTACCTCCCATGAACCCTCAATCATTCTCAAGAGTATAAAGAGCTGGTCCAGTGTTCCGTGACCAGGGCAGTTATTTGGGACAAAAACCACATTGTTCCTCCTGTATCCCGATACTCTACTTTCCAGCACCCTGACATAGCTTTTGGGAGGCTGAGGAGTGTGATCACCCTATAGTTGGAGCACAACCTCTGGTCCCCCTTTTTAAAGATGGGAACAACCACCCCAGTTTGCCAATCAGACCTTTGGATTGTCAAAGATCTTTTACCGTCCAACAAAATTCTTAGTTAAAGTCAGCAGTGCTCCACCCACACTATACACAGTGCAGGTAGACCACCACTTTCCCCTCCTGAGTCAACTGATTGTTTTCCAGAAACCATTTGAGGCAGTCAAAAAGTATTTTTCCATGGCCTCGCCAAACTCCTCCCACAGCCCAGTTTTTGCTTCAGGCACTGCCCGAGATGTGTTCTGCTTGGCCTGTTGGTAACTATCGGCTGCCTCCAAAGTCCCACAGGCTAACCAAGCTAGGTTAGGACTCCCTCTTTAGTTCGATTACGCTCTTCACCTTCAGTGTCGACCATTTGGTTCAGGGGTTACACCCATGCCAGACACCAACTACCTTGCAGCCACAGCTCTGTGTAGCAGGTTCAGCAATGACTCAATGTCCCTAGTCTACCAATGGAATGTTGTCGAAGCTCTGCTGGGAGTGGAAGTGGCCTAGGGTGTACCATATGTCTCTGTGTTTTTTGTTTATTTGTTTGTTTGTTTGTTTTTTGACGGTATGTCTTTATAGCACCTATTTAATGGTACTGATAAACAGTATCAGTAAATTTAATACTGCAGTGAAAGTGTCCATGGCTCCTTCATCTCTGTATTCTGTAGGTCTGTAGTCAGTTTTATTTAATACAGTGCCAAATTACAACAACAGTCACCTCAAGGCGCTTTATGTTGTAAGCTATACCCTACAATAATACAACAAAGAAAACCCCAACAATCATATGACCCCTATGATCAAGCGGTTTGGCGACAGCGAGAAGGACAAACTCCCTTTTAACAGGAAGAAACCTCCAGCAGAACCAGGCTCAGAGAAGACGACCATCTGCCATGAGTGGTTGGTGTGCTGTGTCTATTTTTCTCTTTGTCGTCCCCCATTTCTTTTGTGTTGTCCAGAAGGAAATGGAATGCGGTGCTACAAATGCTGTGACTCTTCTATACTGACCTATAGGTGGCAGCAACATGCCAAGATATATAGCAATGTGCAAATAAAGCTGAAGAAGAAGAGGACTGCAGGCCAAAAGAAATGGATGTAAATAATTGAGAGGAAGGAAATGGATTCAACACATTTGTTAGAGCTCAAGGATATAATCAAAGGTATTGCTGAGTTAAACAGAATAAAAAATGAGCAGAGGTATTCTAGCGTTCACAAAACACTCAATATTTGATGGTTAATTGGAGTACAATTCAGCCTGTGTAAGTTCAGTGGTTTTCAAGAATCACATAGGTACTGCTGACTGCTGAACTGTATAACATGACATTTCATTACCATGAATTGTTCAGGTGGGAAACATTTGGTCCTAGCATTCATATGGATGCTACTCTAACGCATTACTGCCCATGTTATTGGACACCGAGCAATCCCCTGATGGGGTTGGCGTCCCACAGAGAACAGTGTATCTTACCACACCACAGAAACTGCTCAGTGGATGTATCATACAACCCATATAACACAATGGATGCTTTAACAGCATCCCAGTACCAGACAGTACTCCTGTGACATAATAGCTGGAGATGGCTTCTATTTCGTGGCTGATAAATGAATATTTAGGTGTGCTCATTTTAGCACATGAGGGAGACAAGTTAATGCTTCAAGTGCTTGAGTGGGTCGAAGAATATTTTGGCTCCAAACATCTTAAGTGAATATGTAATATAAATTATTTTAAAATGAAGATTATTTAAAAACACACACACAGCTAAACATTACCATTTGAGATGCTTTCTCAGCAGTCAGGCTGTTTTGCTTGTCATTTGCATTTGATCAGGATATTGTTAATTAAATTTTGTTATTAAACCACAGCCCATACTATCTATAGGGCTTCCCCTTACCATTGGCATAGATGGGAGGGAAAGTGGATACTGGAGATGAGGATTGAGTTACACTTGATTGATCCTATTAAAGCCATAAAACAGGAAAGGGAAAAGAGAGAAAAGGGATGTAATGTGTTGGTGAGTATCACTGTTATCCACAGATACCCGATAAATATGAGAGATTTGAGTGAAAATCTTACTTTCCTGGCGCAGTCTGTGATGATCTCTTGTCAAAGGTGACTTTTATGGAAAAGTAGCATGAATAATGAGGTTTCTTTTATGTAAAGCTGCATGATCTGTTTTAATTTATTGAACTTTTTTTGCTTCATCATGCTGCCCCAATAATTTAGCGTGGAAAATGTAAGTAGGAGGCCTTGTGTAATGACTGTGTTTGAACCATTTATAAATTGGCAAATGATGGCTTGAGGCTTCCAAACTGGTCAGCTAAGACTAATCAATTTGCAGCCTATAAAACAGCTCTCTTGCAGTTAATCTACAAGCTACTGCAGTGAGTGAAATGCTTGCAAATCTCTACTGATTCTTAAGAGAACCCACTGAAACAAATATCAGTGAGCAACTTTTATTTATTTCATGACTGCACCTTCAGATATGAAGATTCATACCTATGTTTTATCATCTGAGAAGGGGTCCGCTTTACCATAGGAGTGAAAATATAAAGAAAGGAGACAATGTGGCAAGCATCTACAAAAAAAAAATCATCCTCTTCCTCCTCACCTCAAGATTCATCACCTGAGCTGAAGTCAAGCCTCTAACACATGAAAATGTGTATAAACATGTTTATGTGTTCTAGATATTGTTGCAATTACTCATTTTCAGCAGCTACGAATGAGCCGGCTTTAACAACAGTAGCTGGTTGTAAGCTATTATGCCAGCTAACGTTAGGCTTCAGTGTCTTAAAAATCACATTTTCTCACTGACAGTTTGACACTCTGCGAATTAACTCTCGTATTTGTTCTCATGTGAGAATATAATTTGAGTCCAGTTAAAAAAAACAAGTTTCATTAATGCTCGGTAACAGTGGATAACAATAGCTAACAGCGGTGCTAACCGACAGAAAAGTTCATTGTATCCTCAACATCTCACCTCAGTATTGCTGTCCTCAGGAAGAAGTGAGCTTCTCTGACTCCATGACTTGTATCGGATTCTTTTCACAAAGATTTACAGCCTCCTGTAAATGGTTACATAAGCTTGTCATCTGGCATATAAACAGTGGACTGGTTAGATTTTCTTAACCAAATCCAATTGTTAAGTGATGATGTATAAACCCTGCTTCCAGGTCCAAACTACTCTGCGTTTATTAAGTGATCACTGTTGGCCTCTCTCGGCAGCACATTTTAAAGATTGGTTTTTAAAACCTTACAGTATAACTACAGACCAGCAAATACAACAACATATTAATTAGGGGTGGGGGGGAAAATCGATACTGTGTAGTATCGTGATATTTTGTTTGCTAATAATGTATCGATACAGGGACAGCAGAAATCGATATTTTGTTACAAAAAAAGTTTTTGTGGACTGGAACATGCTCTGACTTCAGAGCATGTTGATCCTTTTTCTGAGCAAGAATCCTGACATTCCTTCACTGTCCAAATGTGTTTAACTTTTTTTTTTTTTTTTTGGCAGCAATAAACTAAATTTAAGACATGTTTTATTTTAATTAAGTTTAAAACTTTTTTATTTAATGTAAAATTATATTTTGTTTTAATTTACTTTCAAATTCTTCAGTTGCTGAATGGGCTGCATAGTTTTCATAAATTGCATAGTTCAGAATAGCTATAATTGTACCAGATGGTTGCATTCAGTTAAGTTGGACTAGACTGTAATACAAACCGTTCAGTTTGTCAACAATAAAACTGACTGAAATGAGAGAAAGACTGAGTGTGAGACTTTGATATTAGATAAAATGAATATTGATAAAGCTTACCTTTATGTACAGAATCTGAATATTGCAAAATATTTTTAAAAAATTGCAATAATATCGTATCGTGCGTTAAGTATTGTGATAATATCGTATCGTGGGATGTATGGTGATTCCCACCTCTAATATTAATCACTAACCTTGTATTGTGGATGGATTATCTCAGTTGTTCTCCTGACTGAAGTTTGGCCCGTTTACAGCATCCTGCCATGCAATTACATTTGTCCCTAACCATTGGAAACCCTCACATTAACTTGAATCAAGTGGAAAAAAGTTAGCGTTCATCCTCCAGCTTTACCGTGTTTACAGTATATTATGCTAACCATAACTGTGTAGCTAGCCACCACTTACCACATCATTATATACCAGCTTGCTCAACTTAAGTAACCCTACAAACGTCACTGCTGTTTAGTTTTTTGTCTTTGTTTATGTCAGAAGTGATAGCAGAGCGGTATGTATTAATTTTTTCTGAAATCCCTCAGTCAGAACATGCTATATTATCTTTAGATGGAAACTAGCGAGCCAACTCCCTGCTAACTTCAAACTCCGTTAAACTTCATAAATTCTGTTTTCGTGGATGCCTGGATGTTAAATTTAATTGTTACACCTGGTAGAGCAGCCACACTCATCATTTTATTAAAGATGAAAGAATTTAGACCATTTTTAACTCTCAGTGATGCCACGTTGTCCGTTTGACTGTGGGACCTGAAGCGGAGTTTGGACCCGGAAATGGATAATGACGTCAGACTTAAAGACAGGATGGCAAACCAAATAGTGAAAGACTATTTTTTTGTTTGTTTGTTTATTTGCTTGTTTGTTTGTTTGTTTTTTTAACACACAAACAGTAGTAGAAACACACCGATTGGCCACAACTATTACTGGGTACAGTCTAAATTTAATGTTTTCGATCTCTCTTGGTTGACTAAAGCTGCAACTATAGCTAGGATTATGTACTTAAATTGGAAGGTGTAAGAAAAAAAACTTGAATGAAGTTGAATCCAGTCTATAATCTACTGACATCTAGTGGTGAGGTTTTATACACTGTAACTTTAAGATAGCTTTCATCAGTTTTCAGTATGTGGTTCTACAGCAGTCAGATGTTTCTACATATTAGAGCTGAAAGCTGTTTTCAGTTTTGTCACTGATACTCATTGCTTTAGCTTTAGTTTATAATAGTCTTTGGCAAGTGTAACTTGATGCCATTTAGTAATTAAAGCTACTATAAATGCTGCTGATCTGTTATTTCGCCTCATCATTGGTTCTTTCTCCATCCTTGTAGATTTGTTTTTCCATTTCTCTTTGCCATAGAGGTTAGCCTTCATAAATAAACAAGAGATAGGGAGGGGTAAGTCCATTAAAAGTTCATGCTGCAACAGCTTTAATGGTAGTGGTCACATAAGGACTTCTAGTTCAAACTCACAAGGAAATCCAATGATGATTCTCTGGATGCTTTTCTTTTCACTCACAAAGTTGAGTTATTAAGCTTTAAGATATGCTCTGAGTCTTTATTTCAGTAAATACTGTCACAACTCATCATTTTGTGTCCATTTAGGCTCTATAGTCTGCCTGTTTCTAAATGTGTAAGCTCTGTTTGCCAGGCTCATGAGAATTGCATGTGATGCTTTGCTTCAAGTGAAAAAGCATCTAAATATCATCTACATATCAAACAAGACATATTCAAATTGTGCATTTTTATAACAAATAAAAAATTAAAAAGTTAGTGCAGCATAACGAACAAGGGCATCAAATCGCACGATCCATGAGCCACATCCAACAGCTGCAAAGAACCTGCAATTTGTGAATGTTTCTGTTTGCTAATCATTAAGGCCAGCATGGTTGCTGAATAATTTAGCAAAGTACACAATAGTAATTTGGTGAGAGTTAGGTATTTTACAACTACAGTGCTTAGGCTGTGTGGGTTAGT